GCAACGGCCATGTTTTCAGTGGCGCCTCCAACTCCTTTGCCATTTCCTTTGCTCTGACTTTGGTATCCAATCCTCAGATCAAAAAGTCTCTATATGAAACAGGACCCATACTGCACAAAAGTTGGGAGATTGTGTGGTGTTGCTAAACGAATATTGTGCATATATATCATCGAAGGAAGTTTAGAAGTCAAACTTCCGACAATGTGGACAGATGAAAAGCAGAGCAGGGAAGAAGCAGAGAGAAGAGAAATATCAGAAGAAAGAAGAGTAGAAGAGAAAGAGTAGTGGTCCGAACCCCTGGTGTTTTAAACATTTTGACTTGGAAATGTCCTTCGCGCCACAACGGCGTGCACTTTTTCGACATCTGAACCTCCAAAAGTGGCGCGAACATGTGGTGTTTTGTACATTTTGACTTGGAAATGTGCTTCGTGCCACAACGGCGTGCACTTTTTCAACATCTCAACTGCCAAAAGTGGTCCGAAGCTGGTGTGCTTTGTGCATTTTGACGTGCTTCGCGCCACAACGGCGTGCACTTTTTCGACATCGCAACTTCCAAAAGTTGTCTGAACCCCTGGTGTTTTTAACATTTTGACTTCCAAATATGCTTCGTGCCACAACGGTGTGCAACTTTTCATCTCTCATCTGGCCAGCTGGCTCCGCACCCGACACTTTTGCGAGCCTACTTTTCGACCCTCCGGAGCCCCAAATCATTGGGAAAACACAATGTTTCGCGTGTCGAAAAAGTGCGCGCCGTTGTGGCGCGAAGCACATTTCGAAGTCAAAATGTTCAAAACACTAGGGGTTCGGACCACTTTTGGAGGCTCAGATGTCGCTTCGCTTCGCTTCACTACATTACACTACACTCCACTACACTCCACTACACTACCTTCCACTACACTTCACTACACTCCACTACACTACACTCCACTACAACTGCACAACTACAAAACCCCACTACACTAAATTACACTACACTACACTACACTACGCTCCACTACACTACACTACGCTCCACGACACTAAATTACACTACACTACACTACACTACATTACACTACACTCCACTACGCTACAATACACTACACTACGCTCCACCACACTAAATCACACTACACTACACTACATTCCACTACACTCCACTACACCACACTACATTACACTACACTACATTACACTCAATGACACTGCACCACAGATAGACAGGTAGACAGCTAGACAGATGAAGGAGAGAGAGAGAGAGAGAGATAGATAGATAGGTAATTAGATGAAAGAAAGAGAGAGAGAGAGATAGATAGATAGATAGATAGATAGATTAGGTAGGTAGGTAGGTAGGTAGGTAGTCAGATAAAGAGAGAGAAATAGTGAGAGATCAAGCACCTTTCAGTCCATCAGTGGCTTCGCTCTGCCATCCCTGATTCACAACAACCAACCTCTTCCTATTTTTGAAACTTCCGCCACCGCCTTGTGCGGTACTACTGGTATATATTCATATATCTCAAAGCAAGCAATTGTTTATCCAATTACTAAGATCCTGGTTGCATCAGAAAAGTTTCTTGTGGAAACATGTGGAAATCCAATTGCCACCACTGTACCTTCCCCGTGCTGGTGCTTCACCTTGGTGCAGCAAGGTTTTGAGCTGGAAAAATCATCGAAAAATGAGATCAAAGGAGGAAAAAATCCATGATTTTCCAGCAAACCATCAGCATTTTTGAGCTCTCTCTGTTCAACTGGATTGTCTTAAGCAATTTTTATCAAATTTTTATATTAGGTTGGCAATCTGAGAAATCTGAGAAACTGACTGATCTCTTCAGCAACCGGCGAAGACTGCCTGGACAATGGCTTGCGGAACCACTCCCGAGCAAGATAGCACTGATAGCACAATAGTCACAGGAACTTTATCCGACCGAATCTTCTCATCATCTTTCTCTCCATGATGATTCATGGCATATTCATGGCTATCATCGCGCACAGTGCCAGAGTCGGAATGAACGTATAAACAAAATCAGAATCCCAATAGAAGAACATCAATCGAAATCAACGTAAGCCAGTCAAAGAGACAGCACCGAACGCTGAAGCTGTGCCTCTTCTCTGGGCTATCAGCTTGGGTCTCCACCAATCTCTCCTCTCCACCAGGTCTGCCTGACATTTTTCAGGACACCATGATCATCATGATCTTTACCCCCAAATATCGGCGTTTCCCGCAGGTTTTCAACCAATTGCTACCTGGAGGGTCTGCAACTCCTTGGTCCAGAGAGTCTTCTTGCTCCTTACCTCAAAAAGCTTGCTGTGCTCGCTGCTATTTGCATGTCAATCAGAAACACCGAATCATATCCGCGATCGTAACACATCGTAACAGTCGACTTGACATCTGTGCTTCGGAGCCTTGACTGTGGATAGGCTCATCCATGGAGGAGGCCAGCCTCAGATCGGATATCAGAGGCTGGCAGCCGACAACCATGATTATTGGACTTGCCAAGTTGCCAAATGCGAAGTAGCAACAATTATTCAATGGTGGATTTTTGAAAAATTATAATAAATCAACTGTATGTATGCGGTATATCCCAAAGCTTCAGAAGAACATTGGTCTGGTTTCTCTCCAGTTTGGAATCCTATGGCGCACAAGGGTTTTAGAGTCTGGCAGCAGGCAGCCCTTGTTTTGCGTCAGGACGCCTTTCTTGGTCAAAACAGGTGAGTCGCTGGTCAGGAATCCGGAGGAATCCAAAAGGTATCCTCATTCATTTTCTCCGTGATGCGGGGAGACAATAGGGACACAATGAAAAATGCCCTCTTCGGGAGCCAATAGCCTGAGAATTTGCGGCAAGTTCTATCAACTTCTCTATCTCTCCGCGGAGTTCAATGCAGCTGCATAATCGATGTACTCTTGCATGGAGATGGTTCCTGACAAATCCTGATCCACATCGATGAAGAACTGGTGCAATTCTTTGGCATCCAACTCACCCTTGAACTGCGAACGGACTTCTTGAGCATCAATCTGGTTGTCCTTGTTCAGGTCAAACTCTAAGAAATCTTGCTTAAACTCAGAGTCATCTGCCTGCACCCTGGCCAGCCATAGCAGCACCCACAACCGCAACAGCATCCTCACAACAGTCACAACTTGAGCCGAGTTAAAGCACAAAGGCGTTTCTGTGACTTTAAACTAGCTAAACCATGCTAAAGCTTTGAAAACCCTGGTCAATGCCAACAGCTTTCCACAGATCACAGGGCTTCCGACAATGCAGCCATCAGGGCCTCATTCTGAGCCTCGGGCTCTACGAGGCTCAGGTTCTGGAAACTCAGGGGAACACGTGGGAAAAAAGTACACCCCATTCTAAGAATGATGATAATCATCTGGTTGGTGGTTGACCTACCCCTCTGAAAAATATGAAAGTCAATGGGAAGGATTATCCCATATATTATGGAAAATAAAACATGTTCCAAACCAAGAACCAGTCATAGTAACATATAGATTTTCTAATAGTGGAAATAAGTGGAAATAGCTGGATCATGACCAACATAGTCATCATATCTCATCAAGATGAGAATGGTCGACAATAACAGCAACAGGAATGATGTTACCTTTTATTTTTAAAAAAACAATGATAACCTCCAAGTCGGGCTGGGTTGTACCACCATATACCACCCATTTCTGGTCAAAAAATATAGCCCCGCGCCTTGTCCGCCCACCTGGCAGCAAATGGCACAGCATTGGTCAAACCAGGGCCGTGCCAAAATCGGGCCTTGTGTTGAAGATGGACTTGGCATCTCTCTCCTGTGGATGAAGTATATCATCAAGGATGCATTCTCTCTTTAAGCAATCCTTGCCAAACATCTCACATGTCCAGTCACATTGGGACAACCATTCAACTCAGCTTGCTCAAGACTCTGACACCTGAAGACCTGGTGCTTCTGAAAAGGTCCAAACTGTTTTTTATCCGATGCCCGGCTAACTTTCCACCAGTGTCTACGTGTCATGTCAACTTCGCCCTGCCCCCAGGTTGAAAGTCCTCAACAACGCACTTGGTAATCTCTGCTCCAGTGTCAGCTGGATCAGCGAAGGGATCCCAATCCTGTCCAGCCATGGAATCTGCAGAACATTGGCAACGGGTAGGTCCACAAAGTGGGGTACCCTAAATCCAGGCATTAAAACCATCATTTCTAGTCATTTCTCCATGCGTCTCCTCTAAACATAGCCATACATTGGGGCAACACCCATTTTGACACTCCCAAAACTTTGGCGGTTGTATCTGCACCTCCATGGGGTGCCGCCAAACCTCCATTGCCAGGTGAAATTCACCATGAAACAATGAGAAATGGTGCATTTCTCTCTCCGCATTTTTTGTCCAAGAACTGCACCTGCTCTGCGCTGGTCTGCAGTACTTTGCCTGCAAACCCAACCTCTCCAGGACGCGCCTCCAAGGTGTACCAACTGGCACTTTGGCCACATGGATTTTGTCACCCCTGAAGGACATTTCAATCCTAAAGTCCTTGTTAGCGGTAGAGGGACTGCTCAGTGTCCCAGAGCCAGCCTCTGATGTTGCTCACCATACCTAAGCTTCATGTGACTTTAGAATCGTGACAATTGCGGGAGGGAGACTACATCCAGCCTCCAAAATGCATCGATGCCAAAGAATCTGGTTACAATTCGAGCATGTTCCGGACTAAAACACGATTTGGCACAATTCCTCCGTACTATCCGCATCATTTATTGCATATCCCACAAATGGGATGGAAGGACTAGAAGGACTAGAAGGACTGGGACTTGCGCCCTGGAATATCGTCAATTTTGAGCCAAACCCAAGGGTAATGACATTGCCTCTTGGTCTCATCTCGCACCTCCAACCCACTGCAAGAGGGAACTGTGACCGTGGACAAGGTGCTCAAATACCACATCCGCAAAGCCTCCATGAAATTGCCATGGACCAAGTACCGATCGCGAGCAAGCTCAAAACTTATGTTGGCCTGCGATCATTTCCCTTTTTGACTTCAGTGTAGTTCAGTGGAAAACCACTGCAAACTTCTGAAAGCTGCAGTCATAGTATGTCACACTTGAGAACAGCTGCAAAGCATGACTATATAGATACTATGTATACGCTTGAAGGTTTCAGAAACACAGGGGCTGTCTTTGGAGCGGTGCTTGTGGCAATGCCTTGCCTGGGAATAGAGAGCCATCTGGTAGTGGATGGATCCCATTTGAGAGAGGAGCATTGCACCCTCCGGGGTATCACCCAGCTTGGCCCTCAGAAGCGCCTGTAGCAATGGCCAAACAAACAAAAAAAAGTGAAGGAGGTTGAAGCCTGTCTGCAAGTTGACAATTTCAAACAAACCCTTCGGAATGCTTCAAGCAACATGAAATATACCACCCCCCCTTCGACTGCAGCGCTGTCCAAAATCTGATCACCGAAACAAATTCAAAGACTTGTAAACAATCTTTACGTCTATACTTTTGACAACCCAAACAACCCCGGCATCTGCTATTCGACCTGCCAAGCTTGCTTCATGTGTGAGAGTCCTTCTTCGACTGCGCCTGAGGGCTGTTTGGAGTGCCTCATGTCTCATTGAATTCGTGGTTTCATCCCATTAGTATTACTGGAATCCCAAAAATGGCACATGTGTGTTATATTTATATCTGATTATCCCAATAAACATTATATAATACTATATAATAATCACTTTCCTTTGTTACGTATCCATGGGATTGAATATGATTGAATCACCATGATCCAAGGAATCCGAATGTGCCTTTTTCCCTGCCTGAGCCAACGCAAGCTGCACCCATGCTGCTGAGAATGCGGGCCTTGCCAGGCTCATCGCCCCGGAGATCTAGACCTTCGCTAGCCTCACGAACAGTGCACGAACATGCACGAACCAGGTCTAGAATGCACGTCACAGAGATGATAGAAAAGGGGCTTAGCACGATCCTGACCTGCATCTCAATACGATAGAATCAAATATGCGACAATAATCAATTGATTACATATATATATATATAATTACAGTATATATATATATACAGTATGCACAATATCGTTACTTCAACCTTGTCGACAACTGCAGCCTCATCATCACTGATCCCTGCCTCATGAAGAAACACCATGGCATCCTGTCTCCTTCCAACAGCAGCAGCGGCGATGGCCATATTTCCAGAGACTGTGATGCCATCTGGGCTCTGCAAATCGCCATGTTTCCTGGGGCTGCATCCCAGTCAGTGAGCCCATGGGGGGATATTTATGTTATGTTAGGTGGATGGGATTACAGCATAAGTGAGTCGCAATATGTCGCAATATCCAAAAACAACCGCGGAACTAAAGGAAACTCAGTCAGTGACCGCTGTTTCTTTGGAATTTCACAGCAATGTGGGTAAAACAATGATAAACCATCCATTTGGGAATGGTTTATACCACCTATTTATGGTGAAATTGGGGATGGTTTATGGCATTGTTTTACCCGCATTAGGGAAAACTCTTGAACATCAAACGAACACCCAGCATCTTGAAAATGGCACGGGCTTTGCCAAATTCCTGCAGTGCCTCTCCAAAGCGCTTCAAATTCGCCTTAGGCTCATGGTTGCACAAATGACACTTAGTGATACCTCGAAAACACTATTTTTTGCTTTCAATATATATGTATATGTACTATATATATATATGCATATATCATATATGTATACACTGTATAATGCTGTATAATTTAATATATATATATATATATATGTGTGTGTGTGTCTATTTTATAACAAATTCAAGTAATGTATATCATATCATATATAATATCATATAATCATATATATATATAATATATATTTATACGTGTGGCCTGATGCTCCCGTGGCATTCTCCCAACTCCTTTCCCAATATAGGCCATGGCCAAATCATCCAGGGCACAAAGGCAGAGCCGTGCTGAATGAAGTAACCAGCTGCCAAGCTGTCTGGATATCCCGCAGCTTCTAGGAACTGCTCAGCTGAAGCCAAAGTTGTTAGGGCCTGCAGTGAGCGAAATTCGCACCAGTGACTGTCCCGTGGTACATCCTATGTTAGCCATCAAAATAATGAAGGGATATCTATGACTATCTATGACTATCTATGTAGAATGTACGCACCCGTTATTGGCGATTTCCCACTTTCAGGAATTTCCCCAGTCCGGACAACAACGAGTAAGCAAACCAATTCCATGTTTAAAGCAGTCGAATGCCCCAACCTTCTCATGCTGGCCATGGTTGCTGTAGTTGGCAGCAGTCTCCATCAGCATCTCCACACCCAGCGCAAATTTCATAGGTGCCTCGGTGAAACACATTGAAACCTGGGTACAGGTGGGGAATAGCCTCAGGTGGTTGAGTCGCCTCCACCAGATCATCATTGGTTACATTACCCATGAAATATCCCTATTGTACATGGATAAATCATGATAAATCCCCATTAAGATACAGAAGCCATTACATGCCATTATCCGGTTGCATGCAAGAAGCAGCTTCAGCGCTGCCACCTGGTGAGCTCAGTGTTTTCTATGCCATATAGTGTGCACATGCATGGATACATCTAGCTACATATCGCCTTGTCCATCTGTCAATCTACCTACCTACCTATCTACTTGTCTACTTATGCATCACACCTAGACACAAAAAATCTATAAATCTATCTAATCATCTACTACCTAGCTATCTAATATATCATTCTACTTGAATCTCATGAAATGAAATCAAATCGATCTAATATCATAGTTCTTGCGGGCATATTCCAGGCCTGCGGCATGTGCCGAGCTCTGTATCCTTTCAACCATGGACGGTGACGGCCGCACCACGAACGTGAGCTGCGACCCCAGCAGGACAAGAAGCGCACCTGGTGGCCCCGCTGTCAGCCATGGGGATTCAACCATCACTGGGCTTATTACCCTCTGGTTATGTCAAAATAGCTATTGAAAATGGTCATTTATAGTGAGTTTTCCCATTAAAAATGGTGATTTTCCATAGTTATCTTAGTTTACCAGAGGGTACCATAACAAGCCGTTAGGGAGGCCACCATTCAGCCACTAAGGGTTGAATCCCCGATGTGACGATCGGTCTAAGACTTGATGATCGAACGACATGTCCATATTTCATCATATGTCCTTTGATAGCATTGAATATTGATAATACAATTTCTTCAAGTACAAACATGTACAAATCATAAAGATATAGAAAGTTCATTTCGCACCTGAAAGGCTGACATGGCTGGACCTTGAGCTGAGCCAGGTCCTCCAGGTTCTCTTCCTGTCAAGTCACATGAGTTGCCTCATGGACATGTTGAACAAGCCCCATGATCATCACTAGGAATCCGATGGAATCCAAATCCCGCCTTCGACGCTGTGCCTGCCATGGCAGAACCATTGCGAGCGTCATTGCAATGGCAGAACGTGATTCCGTCTTCCAATTCGAAAGACTCTGGCATAGACCACAAAACAGCACAATGTCATCTAACTTAGATCGTGCTGTCTATGGGTGACTCTTCATGCCCCCTCCCCATGTTTTACATTATGAATCATCATGAATTTTGCTGTAGCTGCCGTCTTTGGATGTGCATTCGTTTGATTACCAGTGTTGCCATCAACTGTGGTCTGAGAATCTGGAGGCTTTTCCGGACCTACTAGAGTTTAGAGTTTTGATGCAATCTCTTGCAGCTGTCTTGGAATGACACTTCTAATTTTGTATATATAAATGTGTATAAATGTGTAATGAAAGTAGTGACTGGCTTGGGCAAGGTGATGCGAGACAGTTTAATTTCTGTCAAACACAAGTGCAAAGTCGGAGTCTCACGAAGAAGCATCAGGAGAATTCGGTGAATTCAACATACCCAGAGGAAAAAATAACAAGCAAGTCACAATCCTGCAACATTCCACCAACTTGAACTCTGCTCCCATGAAATCCGCCGACCCCGGCAGACGCAAGGGGGAGCGCGCCAGGGAATAAGACAAGCAAAGACAAGCAATGGCCAGTAGCCAGCAGCTTATATATATATTATATAATGTTATATAATATATAATATATATAATATATATATATATATATATCCGCCGACCCCGGCAGACGCAAGGGGGAGTGCGTAAGGGAAAAAGAGTTTATGACACAGCTGCCAGGAAAGAATAATAATAATTTGCTGACCCCGGCCGATGCAAGGGGGAGCGCGTAAGGGAAGAAGAGGTGCTGCACTGCTACTTTTACTACCAGGCAGCAGCAGGCAGCAGCAGGCAGCAGGTAGCAGCCAGCAGCAGCCAGCAGCAGCCAGCAGCAGCCCGCACCAGCCAGCAGCAGCCAGCAGCAGGCAGCAGTAGGTGTCTGGCAGGCAACATCCGGCAGCAGCAACCAGCAGCAGCCGGCGTTAGGCAGCCAGCAGCAGCCTGCAGGCAGCAGGATTCTATTTTAATTTTATTTTATGGCAGCAACAGCAAGAGCAACAGCAACAGAAAGCAACGTTAGGCAGTTAGTTGGGGCCGTTGTCGGGAGGCCCGGTCCGTCCTTCAGGGCCCTGCTGTTTGGGCGTGGCGGAGGCGCCGTTTCTGAGCTTGGAAAGCTCGAAGACGGCTACTTTTCTTGTAGGTTCAGAAAGCAACGTTAGGCCGTTGGGGCCGTTGCCGGCAGGCCCGGTCCGCCCTTTAGGGCCCTGCTGTTTGGGCGTGGCGGAGGCGCCGTTTCTGAGCTTGGAAACACATGTTTCCCATCCGGGGGCTGTCTTTTGAACAGAAGGAGCTGTCTTTTCGCCCTTTAGGGCCCTGCTGTTTGGGCGTGGCGGAGGCGCCGTTTCTGAGCTTGGAAACACATTTTTCCCATCCGGGGGCTGTCTTTTGAACAGAAGGAGTTAGTCGGGTTTCAGAAGTGGCGTTTGGCCCCCTTTTTAGGGTTCCTTTGCTACGTTTTGGGCACGAAATTAGGTGGTGTTTTGCCGTTGCGCATGTGGTACAAAGCCATGCCTTTTGTGATTGGCGGGCTGGTTGGCTGTAAGATGTGGCAAACCTGCGTAACAAGCTGAAAAGTCTCAGTTTTAGTCGGGTTTCAGAAGTGGCGTTAAGAAACGTACATTTTGGACTCGGTTCGTCCTTTAGGGCCATTGTGTTTTGCTGCCGGGAGGCGCGGCAGCAGCCAGAGCAGCGGCTGTGGCAGTAGCAGCGGCAAGCTTCTTGTAGGAGATTTCAGAAGAGACGTTCCGGCCCCGGGAAATGTATATTTTGGACTCGGTTCGTCCTTTAGGGCCATGGTGTTTTGCTGCCGGGAGCTGCGGCAGCAGCTAGAGTAGCGGCCGTGGCCAGTGGCAGCGGCTCTTAAAAAGCGGGAAAATGATAATTTCCGCACCAACAGCAAGCTTTTTGTAGGATTTTGTAGGATTTCAGAAGGGACGTTCCGGCCCCGGGAAACATATATTTTGGACTCGGTTTGTCCTTTAGGGCCATGGTGTTTTGCTGCCGGGAGCTGCGGCAGCCAGAGCAGCGGCCGTGGCAGTAGCAGCGGCAAGCTTTTTGTAGGATTTCAGAAGGGACGTTCCGGCCCCGGGAAACGTATATTTTGGACTCGGTTCGTCCTTTAGGGCCATGGTGTTTTGCTGCCGGGAGCTGCAGCAAGCAAAGACAAGCAAGTTTAGGCACACCACCACCAGAAGCAGCAATCTAGCAGCAGGAACAGCAGGAACAATTGCAGATGATTTCGCGTCATTTTTGGCACGAAATTAGGTGGTGTTTTGCTGTTTCGAGTGGGTTTCGAAAAAGATGTCTGGCTGTTGGTTTCTTGCCTTAGAGGTTGGTTCATGGCACGGCAGGAGCAGCAGCAGCAGCATCAGCAGATGCGAGCACCAGCATCACCACCACCAGAAGCAGCAGCAGCAGCAGATGCAGCTTCAATACAGCAGCAGGAACAGCAAGAGCAGCAGCAGCAGCAGCAGTGTTCTTTAGGGCCATTGTGTTTTGCTGCCGGGAGGTGCGGCAGCAGCCAGAGCAGCGGCTGTGGCAGTAGCAGCGGCAAGCTTCTTGTAGGAGATTTCAGAAGGGACGTTCCGCCCCGGGAAACGTATATTTTGGACTCGGTTCGTGCTTTAGGGCCATCGTGTTTTGCTGCCGGGAGCTGCGGCAGCAGCCAGAGCAGCGGCCGTGGCCAGTGGCAGCGGCTCTTAAAAAGCGGGAAAATGATAATTTCCGCACCAACAGCAAGCTTTTTGTAGGATTTTGTAGGATTTCAGAAGGGACGTTCCGGCCCCGGGAAACATATATTTTGGACTCGGTTTGTCCTTTAGGGCCATGGTGTTTTGCTGCCGGGAGCTGCGGCAGCAGCCAGAGCAGCGGCCGTGGCAGTAGCAGCGGCAAGCTTTTTGTAGGATTTCAGAAGGGACGTTCCGGCCCCGGGAAACGTATATTTTGGACTCGGTTCGTCCTTTAGGGCCATGGTGTTTTGCTGCCGGGAGCTGCAGCAGCAGCCAGAGCAGCGGCCGTGGCAGTAGCAGCGGCAGCATGTGAGTCCAGCAGCAGCAGTAGCAGTAAGGTAAAAACTGATTAATAAAATTGTAAAACAATGATACTTTCCGCACCAGCAACAAGCTTTGTGGTACAAAGCCATGCCTTTTGTGATTGGCGGGCTGGTTGGCTGCAAGATGTGGCAAACCTGCGTAACAAGCTGAAAAGTCTCAGTTTTAGTCGGGTTTCAGAAGTGGCGTTAAGAAACGTACATTTTGGACTCGGTTCGTCCTTTAGGGCCATTGTGTTTTGCTGCCGGGAGGCGCGGCAGCAGCCAGAGCAGCGGCTGTGGCAGTAGCAGCGGCAAGCTTCTTGTAGGAGATTTCAGAAGGGACGTTCCGGCCCCGGGAAATGTATATTTTGGACTCGGTTCGTCCTTTAGGGCCATGGTGTTTTGCTGCCGGGAGCTGCGGCAGCAGCCAGAGTAGCGGCCGTGGCAGTAGCAGCGGCTCTTAAAAAAAATGATAATTTCCGCACCAACAGCAAGCTTTTTGTAGGATTTTGTAGGATTTCAGAAGGGACGTTCCGGCCCCGGGAAACATATATTTTGGACTCGGTTTGTCCTTTAGGGCCATGGTGTTTTGCTGCCGGGAGCTGCGGCAGCCAGAGCAGCGGCCGTGGCAGTAGCAGCGGCAAGCTTTTTGTAGGATTTCAGAAGGGACGTTCCGGCCCCGGGAAACGTATATTTTGGACTCGGTTCGTCCTTTAGGGCCATGGTGTTTTGCTGCCGGGAGCTGCAGCAAGCAAAGACAAGCAAGTTTAGGCACACCACCACCAGAAGCAGCAATCTAGCAGCAGGAACAGCA